TGATGGTGGCGCGAGGGTGGTGGTTGTAATAGTGGTGATGGGGCAGTTCCAAAAGTATTAGATGCACTTTTAAAAAGTTACATCAAACACACCTTTAGAACCTTATGTCTATTAAATTTGGAGTGTTAATATTAACCGTCGAATTAACTTTGAAATAAAATTTAAAGAGATCAAAACCGTGAAAAAGAAAAGTCATTTTATTTATCTTTTGATATTTGAATTGTATTATATTTTATTATATAAATATATATAGTTATTATGGACCCAACAAAACTATTTGAAACCTTAAAAGAGTAAATTTTTTAAAAAAAAATCAAGCAAGGAAACAAAGTGATTCCGATGAGTTTTGAACAAAGAGGAAAAAGAGATATGGAGAAGGGGGGGGGGGGAGAATATTTGACAATAAAGTAGTTTGATCTCTTTCGTTTTGTTTCTCCTTTTTCTTTATATTTCATTTGATAAGTTGGATAAAAAATATAATATAATAAAAGTAATTTATAAATTAAATTAAATGATTTTTTGGTGCTAGTCTGAGTAAAAATGTGTAGTTATAAGTGATAAATGTTATAGCATTATTAGAAAAAAAAATTAAAATTAAATTTAATAATTCAAATTCAAAAAAATTAAAGAGTAAAAAATAAAAAGAATTTGCAATCACCTACAAGTGGGAGTGAGCATTTACCACTTAGACCACTCGCTTTCTTCACATCTCTATGTACTCCAATTAGAAATAAAATTGTTATTTTATTCAATTTTATAGAGGGATCTCTAACTTTGGATTAAATATATTTTTGGGTAAAAACTTTGGAATAGATATATTGTGGGACCAATTTTTTTTTTTTTTAAAGATTGTGGGACCCATTTAAATGCAAACGGAATTACATGTCTATGTCTATGCCAGTGTCAATATCAATGTCTCGTGACACATCTGATGATGCACAAAAATGATTTTGAACACCACCTGTCAAGTGTAAATAATAAATGCAGTAAAAGTAAAGAGAGAATTGGAGGAGACAAGATTTATAGTGGTTCGGTCAACTCGACCTACGTCACTCTTGAATGATTTTCGTTGTCGAGTACTTTATTAATTTAGGGGTATGGAGATAGAGAATACAAGCTTCGAGGGAGAATAGAGAATCAAGGAAGGTGTAGTGCCAGACAATCAGTCTCTCCCTAAGTGTTGACGGAGTGTGCAATTTATAGTGGCTCCCTAATAGGTTGGGGCTACTTTCCAGCGACTAAGCAACCATTTCGGTGGAGCTCCGATCTCTTCTCAAATGGCGAGGTGATTGAGGAGCTCTCCATGAGACGTGGTCAAAAATATGGTGAGGGTGGATCGTTTCCTTCGGTGGTACAAATAAGACTTCTCATACTCTCTCCTTGATGACGTGGCTAAGCAAAGAGTCTAACTTGGTCTTGAGCTATGTTGGATTTGGTGGATCTTTAAATGAGGTAGAGCTTCTTAATTGAGATTTGGACTTTGCACATAAATTGAACCATTTTAGGCTTGACCCATCAACATCTTTAAAGAAATGTTACACAAACTAGTTGAGTGCTACGTTGAGATCTTGTGATCAAATCCAAGAATTTGTTAAAATACGGCTGTCATCTTACATTTGTTGTCTGTAAAGGCCATAACATCTATATAATAAAATATAATATAATTTAAATTTTAAAAAATAAAAAAAATATTTTTTATTTTTTGAGGTTTAAATATTTTTAAATTTTACTTTAAAATTAATCCAACGGTTAATATTAATATTTTAAATTTAATAAAAAAAATATGTCACTAATAGTGTTTGAAACCGTTCCATCACTGTCATCACCACCTCTATCACAAAAAACACCACAACCGCTACCACCACCACACCCACCTTCCCACCACCACAATCACCACCCCCAACGCCCCACCATCACCCGTCATCACCTCCGTCGCCACCACCTTTGGCACAACAACTCTTAGCACCACCATTGTTGCCATTAGCATCACTGCTGCCACCAGCACCATTGTCGTCACCAGCACCACTGCTGCCACCCTCATCGTCCCACCACCATCATCCCCACTATCACCATCACCACCACCACCACCCCACTATTACCCCTACCACCCCCACCGCATCATCACCACCGCCATGACCATCATCATTGATAGAGTAGTATACTCGTTTTATTAATTAATAGAAGTTATATTTTTTTTATTGAGAATATATATGAGCAAAATATTTACATTATATTTAATTTATGATATGTATGTGTGTCTTATATTTTATATTGTAGATAATTTAGTGTGTAAATTTGGCTTATGCACAAAAGATCAGATGATCGAATCCGTATATAATATGAGTATAAGTTCACAATCCTAGATGGAATTGGACACACCATCAATATGATTATAGTGTAATATTCTGATATAGTACACTTTAATTCATCAAAGAGTGAGATTCATATTGAGCTAATAAGCTCGGTGAATTGGGAGACGATGTTATTTGTATGGTATAAATTAATTATTAAAGAAAATCACGTTCTAATATTTAAATGGGTTGATGATGTCCTATTGAGGAAGCTCATAAGTTTTGCCCATATGAAATCCTGTAGGTGAATTTAATTATCCGACATGACAAATAAGTTGAGTGGTAAGATCTTAAGAAATAAAAGAAATCAATTAAATATAATTGTCAATAATTTATTTAATTGATGGATATCTTTAATCTTAAACGTGCGAAGATTATTAAGCATATAATAATAATAAACTCAAATATAATTTTAAGATAAGATTCAAGAGATCAATAATAAGTTTTTAATGGACTGACTTATTATTAATGAGTTGTAGGATGTTTGTTCTAGTTTGAACATATGAATTCTAGGCCAATTGAAAGTCCGGTTCTTATTTTTGCCTTGGGTTTCTGTCGTAACTTATATATAGATGTCTAGACTCTCTAAATTAGCATATATTCTTTACTCACGTTTTTTAGAGATGCTGAAAGGGAAAGCAAAAGTTCGGAGGTTCTGGCAGCCCACACTGCATCCAAACTTTGATGTTGTGGGATATACGACAGAAGGCCGCGAGGTTCATCGAGCTGCCTTCCGTGTTCATTGTTGGGTTTTGTGTTCATGCTAAGATGAGATCAAATCAAAGCAATCTTGAAGGTAACCGCTAATTCTGTTTTCTAGGATTTTAAAGAAAATTTTTTAGTATTCGATACATACGCGCTGTCAACAGTTCTTGAGATTTTCATTTTAACAATCATTACCATCACCGTCGCTGCCACCCCACCACCGCCATTGCCCCACCTCCCCCCCCCCCCCCCCCCCCCCACTATTATCATCATCATCACCACCACCACCACCACCATCGTCACCCATTACCAATTGCTACCACCATCACCCACCACCATCGTCATCTCATTTTTATGTTTATTACCACTACCACCACCCGTTAGCACCCACCAGTAACCACCACTTGTCATTACCCACCATCGCCACTAGTTACTGTTGTGACACCCAAAAATTTGGGGTCTGTTCTCAACCGTTAGTCATCCATCAATTTATGAAAGTACCCGTGTATACCGTATTATCTGACACCAATTCATTAAATCCCCTTCACTGGGATCGAAACCAAAACAGAGTTTGGGCAAAGTTTTTTTATATCGGAGCACTATCCAATACATAACTTATACACATATCAACCATATGATTATTCTAAGGTCCAAACCCTAGTAATTTGGACTTATTATTATCCATAAGGGTTGTTCAAAGAGTGAATGCCCATCGGTATTACATTTTAAAATTTTAAATTTTGAGAAGAGGTACAAGTATCTCGTATAAGTGGTACTAATACCGGAGTCTTTTGTTTTTCGGGCAACAATACCAATAAATATATCCGACTTGTAACTGTAAGCCTCGATTGCCAAGCGCCAACTATTGGAATTTTTTTGAACCTTACTCCAGTGTGACCTTTGATCAAGCCTCATATGGCATTGTTGGATCATGGGCTATACTCGAGCTTTTATGTATATTTAAAACTCAACATTTTTATACAAAAGCTCGAGTATAGATGGTGGTGGTGGCAGTGGTGCGACAACGATAGTGGTGGTGGTGATGGTGACAGTGGTGGCGGCAGTGGCGATGGTGATAATGTCGGTAGGTGGTGGTGGTGGTGGTAGCAGAGATAGTGGTGAGACGGTTTTAAACAATATATTGTTTTTAAAGTATTTATGAGAAATAATTTATAGAATTACTTTTAAAAAATAATTTCAAACACACTTTTATGATCATATTTTTTTTTTATTAAATTTAGGGTATTAATATTAACTGTTAGATTAATTTTAAAGTAAAATTTAAAGTAATCTAAACTACGAAAAATAATAATTATTTTGTTTATTTTTTAAGATTTAAATTGTAAACTATTTTATTATATAGATATGTCCAAATGATACTTATTATATCATCAACATGAATTAAGTTTCATTTCAAGTCCCCAATTTTTTATACCATCGGCACCAATAAAGTCCTCGAAGTTTTAATTGAGTTTTATTTTAGTCCTTACATCAAAAGTTATTAATCTATTATGATGGAATGGTCTTTCATGATCAAAACATGACTTGGATAAATAGTCATATTTGTCTGTTGAAAATTTTGTTATATGTAATTTTATTTCATGTAATTTTAAAAAAAACAAATTTGAAAAAAAGACATGGTTGAGAATTTTAGAGATATTCCTGTAATGTAATTCGGTCGAAATAAACTATTTGATTAGATGCAAGAACTGAATTGAAACTCGATTAAGAATTAAGGAAGTAAACACGCGCCCCGCTCAATCGCGCCACCATAAACACGCTGCCCGCTCAGGTTCTCTTGCAGACTCTCGACTCTGGTTTACGAAAAATACACACAGTCAACCTAATTCCAAATACCCCTAATCCACTTGTCCCGTAGTACCTTTCCTTCTCTTTTTAGACCTTTTTTTTTCTCTCACGACAGTGTGTATTATGTCAGTTTGGCTTTGTACACCCCGTTTGTAATTTTTGGACTCTACTTTTTTTTCCCTCTCTCTGTCGTGTGTGTGCTCCAAAGTTTCCACACGTTCATGGCGGCGAAGAAGCTTTATGACAGTTTTTCCAAGGGTTTGATCGAAGAGGTGCACAAATGGGGTGCTATGAAGCAGACGGGTGTGAGTCTCAGGTACATGATGGAGTTTGGTTCCAGACCCAGTGACAAAAATTTGCTGATTTCGGCTCAGTTTCTTCACAAGGAGCTTCCAATCAGGATAGCCAGAAGAGCTATCGAGCTCGAGACCCTGCCTTATGGCTTATCCGAAAAGCCCGCTATTTTAAAGGTTATTATTTACCAGTTTGTTAATTTCACGATTATGAGTGTGGGTTTTCAAATTTATATAATTTTTTTGGGGGTTTATTCTGGGAATATGTATTAAGCTCGAGAAGAAGAAGAAACAAGAAGAAGAGAGAAGAAGGAAATGATTTTCCTTCATTCATCGAACTATTACAAAAGAGGAGAAAACAAATATAAATAGCAAAGAAGAAAAATTACAATCTGTTACTCAGGACAACCAATGAACAAATGATGGCTGTACAAGTCTAACAAACTCTAATCTACAATATTACCCCTAATACTCCCCCTCAAGGTGGCTTGTAAATGTCCTTTACAGCCATCTTGGACAGCAAAGAAAAAAGTTGAGGAGATGGGAGAGGTTTAGTAAACATGTCAGCCAATTGGTATTGAGGTCTAATGGGAAGCAATTTGAGAATTTCTGAAGTAACTCTGTCACGAACAAAATGACAATCTATCTCGATATGCTTAGTTCGTTCATGAAAGATTGGATTAGAGGCAATATGTATTGCAGCTTGATTGTCACAATATAGCAAAGCAGGAGAATCAACCTTGACTTGAAAGTCATTAAGAAGGTGCTGCAACCAAATGAGCTCACTGGTAGTAGAAGAAAGAGCTCTATATTCAGCTTCAGCTGAGGATCGAGAGACGGTGGTCAGCTTTTTGGCCTTCCAAGAGACTAAAGAGTCGCCAATAAAGATGCAAAAACCTGTAGTAGAGCATCGTGAATCAAGGCATGATCCCTAATCAGCATCAGAGAAGGCTCTCAGCTGCAAGGAAGAAGTAGAAGAAAACAACAATTCTTGACCAGGACTTTGCTTGAGATAACGAAGCAGGTGATGCACTGCCTTGAGATGAGGTAGTCGAGGTTGAGCCAAGAATGAAGTGAGTTTGTGAACTGCAAAAGTAATATCTGGGCGAGATAAAGTAAGATAAAGAAGTTTCCCAACAAGCCGTCGATAGTTGATTAAATCAAAAAGCAGTTCACCTTCAGTGGCAGTTAAACAAAGTTTTGGATCCATTGGAACAGCAGTGGGCTTACAAGCCAAGTGTCCAGCGTCCTCAAGTAAGTGTAAGGTGTAATGACGTTGAGAAAACACAATACCTTGCTTGGACTGAGCAATCTCAAGACCAATGAAGTACTTGAGACAACCAAGATCCTTGAGCTTAAACTGTGTATGTAGAAACTGTTTGAGCTCATCAATAGCTTGAGGTGAAGGACTAGTAAAGATGATATCATCCACATAAACTAGAAGAGCAACAAAAGAGGATCTATGATCTTTTGTGAAGAGAGAGTAATCAGATTTTAACTGCAGAAAGCCAAACTTGAGCAAAGCTTGAAAAAATTTTGAATACCATTGTCTCGAAGCTTGCTTGAGACCATATGGACTTGTGAAGCTTGCACACTAGTTTGCTTGGAGATGGAGAGGACTCCCCTTATCGAAGATAACCGAGAGGGAGATCCATATAGATGTTCTCAAAAAGATCGCCATTTAAAAAAGCGTTGTTGACATCAAGTTGAGCTAGATGCCAATTATGTGAGGCAGCAAGGGCAAGAAGAACCTTCAAATCCTTACTATCTTCATTATTCTGATAGTGTGCAATAAGGCCTGTCTCTTTTCTGATTCTTAGAAGCACTGAAAGTGAAATTCTGAGAATTTTGAGAACCAGATCCACCGGATTTAGCAACATCTGTTTTCACAGCAAATGCCAGTGTGCCAGTAGAATTGCTCGAATTAAAGGAAGAATTAGTCCTCCTTTGTTGTTCCTCTTGAACAATCAGAGAGAAAACACGAGTAATGGAAGGCATCGGATCCATGAGAAGCAACTGACCACGAACTTGAGAGAAAGAATCATCAAGTCCCATTAAGAAGGACATTATGTACTCCATTTGATGATGATTGTTAAGATTTTTAACTCCACCACAAGAACACTTTCCACAAGAACAATTAGGCCGATAATTACTCAGTTCTTCCCATATAGTTTTCAGCTTTGTGAAGTAAATGCTAATGGAACTCTGTTCTTGACGCAAATTCATCAATTCACGTTTAAGCTGAAAAATTCTAGGTCAGTTCCTCTGCTAAAAACGATCCCTAAGATCTAGCCAAATCTCACGTGCAGAAGCAGCAAAAATAATATTGGCAGAAATTTCTATTGAAACCAAATTCAAGATCCAAGATATAACAATATTATTATTGCAAATCCAGGAGTTGAACAGATTATCATCAGTACCTTGCAGCTCAGGAATGGAACCATTAACAACTCCCAATTTGTTTTTCACAGATAGGACAATTAACATCGCGCGACTCCAATTGGTATAATTCTCACCAGTGAGCAGCTGTGAGACGAGCCCAGGACTATCAGAATGATGAAGATAGTAAGGATTTGAAGGTTCTTCAGTGGTGGAATGATTCGAATTGGTACGCTCTCCAGAATTGGAATCACTCATCGAGGGAAGAGTCGCCATATCGAAGAGAACAAGAACAATCAACGAAGGAAGAAGAAAACAAGCAAATTTGTAGCGGATCAAATCTGCTCTGATACCATATTAAGCTCGAGAAGAAGAAGAAACAAGAAGAATAGAGAAGAAGGAAATGATTTTCATTCATTCATCGAACTATTACAAAAGAGGAGAAAATTAATATAAATAGCAAGGAAGAAAAATTACAATCTGTTACTCTGTACAACCAACGAACAAATGACATCTGTACAAGTCTAACAAATTCTAATCTACAATATTACACCCTAATAATCTTCAATGGTGGAATGATTCGAATTAGTACTCTCTCCAGAATTGGAATCAATCATCGAGGGAAGAGTCGCCATATTGAAGAGAACAAGAACAATCAACGAAGGAAGAAGAAAACAAGCAAATTTGCAGCGGATCAAATCTTGCTCTGATACCATATTAAGCTCGAGAAGAAGAAGAAACAAGAAGAAGAGAGAAGAAGGAAATGATTTTCATTCATTCATTGAACTATTACAAAAGAGGAGAAAACTAATATAAATAGCAAGAAAGAAAAATTACAATCTGTTACTCTGTACAACCAATGAACAAATGACATCTGTACAAGTCTAACAAACTCAAATCTACAATATTACACCCTCATAATATGGGACAAGTGGTTCTGTTGGGGTTGTGTTGTGAATTGCGATTAAATTAAGAAAAGTTAGTTGGTAAAAGAGGGAGCCTTTTTTTTTAATATAATCATGTTTTCCTTTGACTGCAACAGTTGTGAAACATTTTTTTTTTTCAAAACACAATTATGCTATCCTTTGACTGCATGGTTATGAATAACCCTGAAGAAGTTTACTGACAATTCATATATTTTTTTTCAAACTGGGATTATTTTCTGCCTGGTGGGTTTTTTCATTTTTCACCGCCTGTTAGAAGATCCCTACTGTATGGATCTTACCTTCTTAGTCAGCTTTGTTGGTGAGAACATGTGTGTTTTTGTATTTTCATACACATACATGGTTTTATGGTGGTGCTGCTGATCTTGGAAACGGTGGCCTAGGTGTTAAACATCATGTGTTGAGATCTGAGCTCAATCTGTTATTAGCACTTATATTTCTCCGTAAATGTTACAAATGCACCTATGGTCTAAATTTTATCTTTTGCATGATCTTAGAATGGGTGTAATGCTGATTTGCATGTGGTTTTGCTCCTTATATTTTGAAAGCTTTATTAGTTTAGTCTCCTCATGTTTGTCATGAATTTTCAGAATGTGCTTTTTTTTTTTTGTGCTTCATCTGTAGTTAATTTAGGTTCTCTGTTTTAGTTGATTTGTGGTCAGGGAAGTCCTAATATCCTATTGAATTTTACTTGAAGCTGATAAAAAAAAGATATCGAATTTTTTGCTTGTAAGGTGCGGGATTGGTATTTGGACTCTTTTCGTGATCTTAGATCCATCCCGGAGATTAAGGATAGGAACGACGAGTTGGAATTCACCCAAATTATCAAGATGATTAAGGTCAGACACAACAATGTTGTTCCTACAATGGCTTTGGGAGTCCAACAGTTGAAGAAAGGTCTGGATCCTAAGGTTGGTTACCAGGACCTTGATGAAATTCACCAGTTTCTGGATCGATTTTACATGTCAAGAATTGGGATTCGCATGCTCATTGGTTAGCGCAACACTCTCTTGTCAGTAATTATACTCGATTTGTTGCTAATTCGGCCTTTTTTGACACTTTGCTCACTTTTCAGTATAATTTTTTGTTAGTCAACAGAAGTGCATTCTAAGCATGTTTTGTATAATTGACTTTGGAAACTCAGGGCAGCATGTGGCATTGCACGATCCCAACCCCCCTCCTAACTGTGTGGGTTATATACATACAAAAATGTCTCCTGTAGAGGTCGCACGAAGTGCCAGCGAGGATGCCCGTTCCATTTGTTTACATGAATATGGCAGCGCTCCCGACATTAATATCTATGGGGATCCTAATTTTACATTCCCGTAAGTTATTTTGTTAATTAATTAGTGTGCCTTTTCTTAACACTGTATACACTTTCTTTAGTATCCCCCCCATTTATTCAATTTCATTCTCCCTAGATTGTGAATGTTTTCTCCTGAAACTCTTCCAGCACTTGCCCTTCTTTATCACCTTCTTTAATGTAATCATTTTCAATTCAAAATAAGTTTGGTCTTATCTCTTAATGTGTTTGTTTTGTGACAGCTACGTACCAACACATTTACATCTGATGGTATTTGAGTTGGTTAAGAACTCCTTGCGTGCTGTTCAAGAGCGGTTTATGGACTCTGAAAAAATTGCACCTCCTATTCGAATAATTGTTGCTGATGGGTTGGAGGATGTTACCATTAAGGCATGTGTACAAGCAAAGGGTTTTCTGTCATGCAATGTTATTGGTCTGGAGTCATCTCCCCACCCAAAAAAAAAAAAAAAATTTGCTGCAAAACTTTGAGCAGAAAGCATGTCAGTGTCAAGCATATTTTTCCCTATGCATCCTTTGAAGCTTTAACAACTGTAGTCTGGCTGGCTTTGTAGGTTTCTGATGAAGGGGGTGGAATACCAAGGAGTGGTCTCCCTAAAATTTTTACTTATCTCTACAGCACTGCCCAAAACCCCCTAGATGAGCAGTTAGATGATCTTGGAACAGCTAATGTGGCAACAATGGCTGGCTATGGATATGGGCTTCCAATAAGCCGCCTGTATGCTCGATACTTTGGAGGGGACCTGCAAGTCATCTCCATGGAAGGATACGGTAATTTGTTCAACCATTAGGAATCATGATCTTTAATGAATATAGTGCAAAGTGGTGTTTATAACCTTGTTCCCAAAAGAGAAGTAAAAAAGGTTAATAGCCTGACATATTTGCTTATTTGTTATTACAAAGATAAGAATATGAAGAAACAATACATAAGATATGCCTTGTGTGACGATGTTGCCGTCTTGGTATTTGCCTTAAAAATGGATTGCACGGGGCATGGCATCCAATACAAAGGAAGTTATATTCAAAGTTCTCATTTGACAGCTGGTTATGCAATAGCTATGTCAACCAATCTGTATTTCTGACGAAAGTATTGCCTCCTTTTGTTTCAACCATTAGATTGAAAACTACTTGCTATAAAAGACTGCGACTTTTATTAAAGATAGAGAGAGTGTGGGTGACAAGTAGAGATTGAGAAGAGTGGCAAGAGAGAAAAACAGAGAGGGGCAACGTGTTCAGCGAGAAGAAAGATGGGGAAAGAGTTGACAGATCGGGGGAAGAGATAGGGCGTGAATCAGGCAAGCAGAAGGGTTGAGATTTGGTAAATTGTGTGAGATTGGGGAAGATTCGGGAGATTTGTGGGTAGAGAGAGGCGTGAGTTTGGGAATCAAAACCATTAATTTGAGAGTCAAAAAATAGAAAGTTTTGTGGGTGGGAAAACAAAATTTGATATTGATCTAAACTGTTGGATTAAAATTCGGAATTAATTTGAACTGTGAAAAACCTTGAGATAATTTTTTGTATTGGATTCTTGAGGGATTTGAATTGCTATGTACTTTATTATATAGATATGGATATTTGTTAAATGATGGTTAGTAGGTAGAAATGAAAATGGCGACAAATCATTGGAAGTGTCATAGACACAGATTTATCATTGAATAAAGCGGCTTCAGATGTCCTGTGGATATGAATTTACTGTGTTTGAGCCTTTTTGTTTCTTGGAAATCTCAGCTTCTTCACAATAAGACCGTTTTGTGATAGGTAATGTACCTTATCATCTGATGATTATAGTGGTGACTAAGTATGAGAAATAAACAGAATTTTAAATGACAATGCCATCTAGCTCTTATTGGAGAGAGACATAAGGGGCATACTGCACAGTTCATTGGGTTTATACATAAAAGAGATGATTGCCTAGGGAACTGTGTTTTAATGAGGTAAAGTTGAGAATTCTTAGTTGTGGTGGCCCATCCCTGCTGGTTTTCATGATTACTAGGCATTATAATGATATGAAGTGGAATTCAAGATCCAAGCATAATGCATGATAATCACATATGTATTAATCATTAAAGAAGACCCCTCTAACGGTGGATCCATGGCAGATTCTTCATTGATGTACCTTATGTTCCTTCTTAATTAACTTACAAGTTCTTTCTTCTGTTTTTTGGTTGATATGCAACCATTTATGTCTTCTTTTTTTTTTATCTTCACATTTTACAGCTCATAGTGGTGATTTGTCAAATATGCCTTTTGTGGATATCTTGTTGAGTCATTAACGTTTTCCTTTCGATTCTTCTTGTACATTTGCACCAGTGTCTTAGATTTGCTTTGTGTTCTTACAGGGACAGATGCATATCTTCATTTGTCTCGTTTGGGAGATTCACAGGAACCCTTACCTTGAATATATTGGTTGTGGATTCGGCTTCAAGATTCGGTGAAGTTAGTTAGAATCCTCCTGTGGAAATACTTGCTTGAACAGGGGAAAATTGGCTCCATAGTTAAAAAGGAATTAATTGTTGCCTTTTCCTTTTATCGCCCATTAATTTTAGTACTTTTGTGTATCTGCTTTGTCAGGTGTAATATATGATAATACACTCGTTTCCAGGTATTTCATGAGATTCACAGCTGGTGAGGGTTTTGGTTAAGAATGGCTGGTGAGGGTTTTGGAGCCTGGAGCTGGTGGGTTGTACAACCTTGCGCTTCCTGCCAAACGTTGATATCTCGAAGTTGAAATCAGCAACGTAATCATCAACTAGCTAACCAATATCTAATGGTGAACAATCAAAATCCACCAAAGAGTATCCTTGTCACTTCTTCTCCGCTACAGTTCACTTCTTCAACCACTTCATCTAGAGATTTGATTAGAGGTGACAATTTTAATCAATTATTTATTAATCTATTTAATTCGTCCATAAATAAATGGGTTGAGTACCTATATTAATTAATTAATATAGATTTTAGTATACCAAAAACACACACATACTAATATACTATTCATGACCCACGGGTCCACTCATGACCTATGGGTTGACCTGTGACCCATGACTTATGGGTCGACCTATGACCTATATGTCGACCGACCTATGACCTATATGTCGACCAGTAACCCATGATTCACGGACTAATTCATAGCCCACAATTGACCTTGACCTATTATGTATGTATTTTTTTTATTAAATGTGTTTTAGTTTTTGTGTAGGTATTAGTGTATATATTTTTAATTTATTAGTTTGTGTGTTTTAGTGTATTAGTGTATGTGTATGTTTGTATTTTAATATACAACTAATATGTGTGTGTATATTTTGGTGTATTAATGTGTCTATTAAGAATTTTAATTATTTTATGGGTTAATCGGTTTAATCCAATCCGTTATAAATCTAACTTATTATAACCCATTTACTACGTGCATGAAAAATAAATATGATTTATTTTAGCCTAATTCAATTTAACCAAACCCAACCCATAACCAACTCATTTGTCACCTCTAAGTTTGACTAATTTTTATTATTTCGTAAAAAGGCTAACTTGAAAGAAAGGCAAGCTAGAAAGGGATTGATTGAGACTTACGATTCAAAGACCATCTGCATAGGTCGGAAAATACTTAGGTTGAATACCTTTGAGAGCTATAGTAGGTGATTGTAAACTCTTAACAAACTAAGCAAGACTAATGTGCTGATTGATATGATAAAAAAAAATAGAAGAATGAAAAGTGAAAAAAAAAAAATAAAATAACATGTTTGGTAAAGAAAGAAAAATAGGAAGGATAGAAAAATGAATGAATGAATTTTCTTTTCAACTCACTAAAATCAATCTCTTCAAAATTGGAAGTAGAGTGGATAAAAAATTAATTATTTGTGTTAAAATATATTTTATTTGTCTATATATCTTTTGATATATACATATATTATGTATATATTAATTTCATATGTAAATTGTAAGAGGTACAAATTAATTATATCTCTCACTAAGGGTTGGACTTGATACTTCCGGTAAAGAATATTTCTGAACTTGGATCTCCCAATCCTCCTATTTTGCAAAACGAACACACTGCCGAAGATCGAAGTGCTTTGATCGAAGGCACTCCGATGCTTAAGTCAGTAAAGGAACAAAATAATTGCTAGAAGACTAGGAGAGTTCAGCGTACCTTTCACTTTGGATCCTTCTGTTTTTTATAGATGGTCATCCCCTTAGGGTTTCCGTGATTTTTGATTTAAGGTGGCACACCTTCCTTCAATTCAGTGATTTAGTTTGGGAAGTTGCTGATATTTCTCCAATATTTTCTCCTGATATATTCAATTTCTCTGATTCATTTATCTGATTGCCTAAGTTATAAGCGAATCTTTATCTTTCTATCTATTATTTGAAATAGTTCAGACATATCGGACGCCGAGCACACTCGATGTTTGCCGAACAGATTAAGGGACTTGGTTTGACACAAACCAACTTTTTCAATCGCCTTGCCGAACACTTTAACGGATTTGGCTTAGTACAAGCCGAGCTCTTTTCTTGTTTAGCTGAATTAGATTGATGAACTTGGCTATAAAGAGAACCGAACTCTTTCTTTCTTTGCCGAACCTATCGATCAACACGACTCGGTTTATAAGGCAGCGTGAATGATTTCTCCGTCACGTGATCTGTCTTGTCAACCTCACATGGGTTTCATTTAATGCCATTACATGTATAATGATGAGGGCTAACTCCTTCATTTGCCCCTAGAAAACGTCTGACAAATGCTTTTTGTCTGTCAGCCGTTTTCTTATCTTTTTATCATCATTACTTGTATTTATAACATGCCCTTTCATTTTGGCGACACATTCAGGGTATTTAAATATTGCTCTTTAAAATTCCTCCTTTATAAACCGACTCTCTTCATATTTTATTCACTTTCGCCTTTTTGCTTCCAGACATACCCTTTTTTCTGTGCCTTCTTCCTCTGAACTTCGTCTTCTTCAATGACCCCTTTTACTCCCTCAGAAATTCCTGCCTTCAAAATCAAGTGCAACATCCCAGACAATGTTGAGGTTAGGGTTGCTGGGAAGGATGAACCCCTAATTGGCACAAGAGAGAGAATCTCCATCCCTATTTGTGCCATCACTGAGGGTGAGATTCGTTTTCCTCTTGATCCTCTTCTTCTTTGGGTTCTCTCTGCTACAAAATTTTTCCCTCTCCAATGCTACCTTAACTTTTTTCGGATCGTCATGGGGGTGTCTTCCTTGAACAAGATTCTGGGTTTGAGTCTTGGGTTGTGGGAGATTTTGTACTGCTACATTATCAAGGCTATCGGAGATAGCTACTATCTATCGGTGAGAAAGAAAGAGAGGTATTTGGTAACCCACCTTCCAAATTCAAACAAGGGCCATGAGAATGATGTAGTGTTTATCTCTGGCAACTGGGAATACACTCCTGGTGTCACTCCATCCTATCACTGTCCCTACGAAGAAGGCATGTCAGGTATTTGATATCCTTTGTCTTCTGTTTTAACTTTGGTTTTCCATTTTCCTGACTTTTGGTTTTCTTCTGCACAGGTGAAACCGTGAAGGGAAAGATTGTTGAGTCCTTTGTAAAGATGGACCAACTTCAGTAAGTTTGGAATTTCAACGAGACTCTGTTCTGTTGAGCCGCACATATGTTGCTCGAGTACACTCCAACTTACATTTCCTTCATTGCCGTTCCGAACCGATCCAACGTTACTTTGGCTGCAGATCGGGAGGAGATCCAGACTGCTTGGGCTCAGACTCCTCGAACCAAGAAGAAGTCTCCTCTTGCAGCATTTGGGCGCAGGACGGTAAAAAATTTTCTTGACTTCCTATCAACTGTTGAATAGACCCCTTCCACCGAGCCGACTCCAACTACTCCAGTGATTTCGATTTCTGTTCTTGAGGAACCCATTCCCGAGGTTCTAATTGAAACTCTTTTTCTTAATGATGTTGATTCGCCGACCAATGGCCAAACAGATATGGCTCGGCCAATTGAAACTTCAATTCCAATTGAGTTTGATCCTCCAGATTCTGTCCTTTCCTCTATACCCGAAGACGACTCAATTTTGAACTTGCTGAGGACCCTGCCCCGAAAAGGCGGAGGACAGCTGAGTCCAAAGTGAGCCTTCCACCCGAGTCTTCCAATCCTCCCTTCCGACCAATCCTTAGGGCCAAAAAGAGTGAAATTATTACCAAAGACTCTGAAATAGAAGATTTTAATGTTGCAGTGGGGATTGCACGAGGAGTGATTTTGCCTCGGGATCTGGCAATGAATGAGGCTCTTATTGACGATGAAGTGTCTTGTCAAGCAATTCAACATATGGTCCTGATAAGTTTTGATTCTGACTTCCTTTAAACTTTTTACTTTCTTAAAATTTTTCTAAGTATTTTCCTTCTTCATAACTTTAAGGGTCTGCAAAAAGTCCATGAGGTCGGAGCTCGGATAGCCCGTAAAGATAAGGCAATGAAAGAGGCCATCCATGCCCGAGCTTCGACTCTGGCCAAGAAGGAGAGTGTGGATGAGGAGTATGAAAAACTCTGCGAAGAAATGAAGGTTTTGTAGGCTCAAAACCAAAGCCTGATCGAGGAGAACCAGAAGTTTTCTTCAGAGGTTGAGAAGCTAAAGGAGTCTGAGCACGAAGTCAGAGTAGAACTTTCTCAATCCCAACTTGACTATTCCACCCTCCTTGAAGAATTTGATCAGTACAAGGCTGAGGCAAAAGAGAAATAAGATGCGGCTTATGATGAAGGAGTTGAGAAAGTGGAAAATGACCTTGCCTTGCAAATTCCTCAACTCCAAGATACTTTCTTCAACAAGAGATATCGTGTTGCACTAATTGCTGTAGGGGTCCTTTCTACGTCCACACTCTTTCCAAGATATTCAGTTCTGAGCTCCTCTCATCGTCCTGCCCCTTCAGATACTTAAAAGACTTTTTGAATTTTTTTTTTTGAAATTTTTGATGTGCCTGTTATAAGATCTTGTACTTTTTGAAGTTTAAATGAGAATGAGAATCGACTTTTATCATCTCTCTTTTTCATTTCTTAGAACGTTTGAGAAAAAATTGATTTTTATACTTAGTAGAATTTTAGTCACACTTGAAATTATGGCCTTGGTCGGCCCTTCTTGAAAGAGCTCAGTTCCTTAACAGGAACCTTTTTATATTTAGAAAAAATTTCAAGTCTCTTGAAGTTATGGCCCTTCTTCAAAGAGCTCAATCTCTCAACGGGAACCTTTTTATACTTAGAAAAATCTCAAGTCTTTTGAAGTTATGGCCCTTGCTCGGCCCTTCTTCAAAGAGCTCGGTTCATCAGTAAAGTTACGCAAAGTCCCCTTGAGATCTAAGAGTGCTTCTACTCTGCACCGACCCGCCAATTTGATTGGACTCAAACCCATCCCTAGTCAGCTTACATCTTCATGCCTATCTGAGGGCCTGAATTTGATCGGGTGGCTGCGCCTGATTTAAGCTTTTGACTTCTATTAGGTTTTTTGGCCTCTCTACCTTAACAGTAGGACGTATATAATGCAAAGCAAGCATAGAAAAAAGAATCTTCGAATTTTTATTGATAACTTCGACTTGATACATTCATTGCTAATATACCATCACTTAAGGGGCACCCTTAAATTTTT